TCATTGTAACATTGCAACACATTCTTTTGTTCTGGAACGGTGCGTGGTCTCCTCCTCTCTGCTGCCATCTTGTACCTCCTAACTAGGTTAAGATGCAACCCAGACACTCCTAAAAAATTTAGGAGCTGAGATCAAGTCTTAACACTTAAGAACCTTTATAAATCGCACTAAATCTTAAATCTAGTAATAAAAGTAAAATGAAGTCATTCTTAGAATTTTGACACACTTAAGAGTAAAATTCTACACTGAGCAGCTTGAACTTATCTTGGCAAACTCTGTTTTATGTGCATACATGACCTGTCATTAGCCATTTTAAATGTGCTGTGACAGGGAGTTAAAGGGTTTACTTATGATATTTATATTTACTAGTTGCATTGAGCAAGACTTTATAACTTTAATGAGACATAAATCGAAAACATAACCGTCTTTTTAAATAAAATGACAATATTATATCTTTGGTATTTATACTAGTAAATAGTTTTAGGTGGGTACAAAGTCTGCAGTTATTCATTAAAGTGATTAAAAAAATTGTACAATTTTTATGTATAGCGTGTATATACAGTACAGTTGAAGTCAAAATTATTAACCCCCTTTGAATTTTTTTTTTTTTTTAATTATTTCCCAAATTATGTTTAACAGAGCAAGGAATTTTTCACAGTATGTCTGATAATATTTTTTCTTCTGGAGAAAGTCTTTTTTGTTTTATTTCGACAAAAATAAAAGCAGTTTGTCATTTTTTAAAAGCCATTTTAAGGTCAATATTATTAGCCCCTTTAAGCACTATATAAATTTTATAGTCAACAGAACAAACCATCATTATACAATAACTTGACTAATTACCCTAACCTGCCTAGTTAACACAATTAACCTAGTTATGCCTTTAAATGTCACTTTAAGCTGTTTAGAAGTGTTTAAAAAAATATCTAGTTAAATATTATGTACTGTCATCATGGCAAAGATAAAAAAAAAAACAGTTATTAGAGATTATTTGTTAAAACTATATATATATATATATATATATATATATATATATATATATATATATATATAAATTATATTACAATATAAAATTAATACTTACATTAAATTTATTAAAACTGTTAACAGATTTTAGTTTTTTCATCAAATAACTTTGTTTGCTTTTTTGAGCTTAAGTGATTCTTCAAAAATCAATACATATGCCTTAGCTAAAAATATACACTAGACACAGATTGACTTAAGATTCTGACCATCACAGCACATAAATCATAAAAATGTTCGACTTTAGTAAAATAAACTATTCACTCATCCGATCGATTTACCAAGCTGGCAAAAATCAAGTTGTTACATTTCTTTGAGAAAGCGAGTATGACTTGAAAAATCCCATGCAAAAAAATAGACAAAATAGAAGGAGCTGTTATTTATTTCCCACAACACTGTTTTCATAACATTTCTCTTTGGGCAAAAGTGTTGGTGCTGGAGCCTGAATCCAGAAGCCAGAGGTCAGTGTGAGCACTGACATTGATTTATACAGTTCAATGATTTTGGGCTAGTAAAATCTGCAATTATACATTAAACTGATGAAAACACTGCATGCAGTTGAAGTCAGATTTATTAGCCCCCCTGAATTATTAGCCCCCCGTTTATTTTTTTCTGTTTAACGGAGATAAGATTTTATCAACACATTTCTAAACATAATAGAGTAACTCATTTCTTGTTACTGATTTGTTTTATCTTTGCCATGATGACATTAGACAATATTTGACTGGATATTTTTCAAGACACTTCTACAGCTTGAAGTGACATTTAAAGGCTTAACTAGGTTAATAAGGTTAACTAGGCAGGTTGGAGTAATTAGTCAAGTTATTTTATAACAATGGTTTGTTTAAAGTGGCTGATGATTTTTGTCCTTAAAATGGTGTTTAAAAAATTAATAAGTGCTTTTATTCAAGCCGAAACATAACAAACAAGACTTTTTCCAGAAGAAAAAATATTATCAGACATACTGTGAAAATTTCCTTGCTCTGTTAAACATCATTTGGGAAATATAAAAATAAATAAATAAATAAATAAATAAATAAATAAAAAAATTCAAAGGGGGTAATAATTCTGACTTTAACTGTATGTGCATATAAGCATTATTAATAAGAATATTAATCACTATTTATTTATTATATTATAATATATTATTAATATGAATTATTATTTAAAGCAAAAATACATTAAAACTGTTATTTTAACTGTTTTCTGTTTTACTTTAAGCACAAGCGATTCTTTACCAATCAATAAAAATATGAACAAACAATAAAGACTTTGATTAACTGTACTTACATTTCTAACCAGAGTACCCACAGTAAAAATAATAATAAACAGTAAACTAACCTATTGACTTATCAAATTCATTGTCTTATTGGCTAAAATTAAGTCATCGCAACTTTGTCAGAAAGTAGACAAAACTACATTTTTTTCCCAACACTGTTTTCATAACATTTGTGGTCAGACCATAGTGTGTGTCCTGGAGCCTGAATCCTGGAGCCACAGGGGTGTACCAGAGCTGAAACTGAGCTGAGACACGGGGATCTGTAGAGCGTAAACCTACACTGCTGCTGAAAGTCCCGCTCACATCATTCTGGGGTAATAGATAATCATCAAAGGGAACGATGGCACTTTTTATCTGCTCTGGTACAGACCTTCCTATTGTCCCGCAGCTCAGCCTGAGCCTCTGGTGTCTCTCAGCGCCTCTCGCACCGCAGAAAGAGACTCCGCACGCTTGACAATTGATACTTGTTAAATTTTATGGGCTCTCACTCTGAAAGAGTGGCTGTCTGGACTCTGTAATTTATGTGTTTGAGAACGAGCAGGTAAGCCTTAAAATCCTCACCACGGATATGTGCTTAGATACTGGCTGTCTGCGTGGATAACATGAAAAACAACACACACACACACACACACACACAATTTTTTTTATGGTCCTACAGTAATATACATCTGCAAGCAAACAACCCTACCTAGATGCTAAGTCATCTTGGAGATTATGCTGACTTCTAAGAAAATATTTCTGGAGCCAATTTGCACATTGGGCAATCAAGACGTTGCATTAAAATTGTCGATTGTACAAAATTAAATTACAGCGGTTTCATGCTCTCTGCATGCGCTATTATTCCACCACAATAAACACTGCGGTCGGCACACAACATGTTTATCTCTAATTGAATTGAAGCTGTATTAAATGTAGCCTGGGTTATATTTGCATTGTTTTGCTCATGGCTCTCAAGGACACACATTATCTACTGTTCAAAAAAATGGCAGTCAGCAATTACATGTTTTCCACAAAATATGAAGTACCATTTTAGTGGATGTTGATGATGATAATAATAAGAAATATTTGTTGAGAATATTAGATCGAGTTCTAAACGATCATTTAACACCAGAGAATGTAGTAATGGTGTTGAAAATAAATAAGTTGTCCTTTAAAATAAATTAAAACATAATTCTGTAACGGCATTTTACCATATTACTGTTTTTCACTGCATTTCTATGATATAAATGCAGCTTGGGGGAGCATACAGTAAAAGACTTCTTTCACAAATATTTTTTAAAACTATACTGCAACACTTTATATAACAAATAGATAGTTCATTATTAAGCATTGACTCTACAGTAATAGACGTTAGTGAGCAGTTTGTAAATACATCTATTTATTTACATTTACAGTAATGTGCTTAATAATTGTGTTTTCATACTTTGTTAATGATTCACTTTTCATTGCTAAATTAAGTATTGCATTATTTACAAACTAATTATTTAAGAATAGTTGGTGTTTTTTAAGATTTTCAGAATGCAAAATTAAATGATTAATAGGGATGTCCAGATCTGATCACGTGATTGGAAGTCTAGCCGGATCACGCAGTTTCAGTCTCGAACGGAGTCAGACATTGCCTCCTGATTAGGAATCAAAATATATATACACACACACACACACACACACACACACACACACACACACACACACACACACACACACACACACACACACACACACACACACACACACACACACACACACACACACACACACACACACACACACACACACAAACATACACACTTTTATATATATATATATATATATATATATATATATATATATATATATATATATACACATATATATTTACACACACACACACACACACACACACACACACACACACACACACACACACACACACACACACACACACACACAGTTGAAGTCAGAATTATTAGCCCCCCTTTGATTTTTTATTTCTTTTTTAAATATTTCCCAAATGATGCTTAACAGAGCAAGGAAATTTTCACAGTATGTCTGATAATATTTTTTCAACTGGAGAAATTATTATTTGTGTTATTTCGGCTTGAATAAAGGCAGTTTTAAGTTTTTTAAAAAAACATTTTAAGGTCAAAATTATTTGTCCCTTTAAGCAATTTTTTATAACAACAACAACAACAATAATAATAACAAAGATAATAATAATATTAATGATGATATTGATAATAACAGCAACAACAATAATAATACTGTACACAGGGTCATGTTGAGACACAGGAATTAATTTCTTTTAGCTATGTTATCTTGCCACTCTCAAAATAACAATGATAACCAATAGTTTGCTTTTTTTAAATCACAGTTCCAGCTTTATTTTTTAAAATACCAATGCTGGGTAACACTTCAGAATAATGGTACATTGAATAAAGTTAGTTAATGTATCTACATATATTAACTAAGTATGAATCTTTTTTAAAAGCATTTATTAATCATAGTTTAACATTAACTAATGGAATATTGAAATTCAAGGTTGTGCTTGTTATTATTAGTTAATGCACTGTGATATAGCATGAACTAAGGTTAGTTAGCTTAAATACCAACATTAACTAATGTTACCAAAGTTGAATAAACACTGTTATAAATGTATTACTAATTGTTTGTTCATCTTAAATGTTTGGAGCAGAGCTGACATATTGGGAAGAATGACACTTACTTGTGAAAGCTGGTGCAGTGGGCATATATGCGGAGTTTGTCCCGGATGACCCGTCCGGGACGAGGTTTTCTCTGGAGACCTGCAACGTGCACCGCCAGCACCCTCGGGCCCACCAGATGTTTGAAGAGCAGAGATACCCAATAATCCTACAAAGCAAACACACAAAACACATGTCAGAAAATATATAAAAGCATTGCTGGAATCTGGCCATGTCAACACGCATGTTAGGTCAAGCCTTTCTGCCACAACCTCTGCACAAGAAACATGATTCATGCAAGATGACTCTGGCTTAAATACACTGGACACATGTGGCATTTCTTCGTCAGCAGGAATCAATGAAATCCAGCCACCGTCCATCTATCAAAGGAGATTCAATTTTACTGAAATAGCTGTAGAGAACTGGTGTACAGAACAACGTTGTAAGCATAATGCAAGTATCTCATATCTGCCTTCACTTAAGGAAGAACGACTCTTCTTTTTACTTTTCAGAGATAGAAAAAAATACACACACGCTTTGGTTTTTTTATTGAGAGAGACACTTTCTTGGATGCTCGAATTGATAAATATAACCATAGCCTTTCTTTGGAAGCCTTTTCTGTTAAAACTGAGAAACAACAAAGCAAAATATAAAAAAGTCTGACCATAAAGAATGAAATGGCTGATAGAAATGAGAGCTACGCACAGTAGTTTAGTGTTTCTACTTGTTTTATGAAGGTAAAAAGTTTAAAAGACCAAGTTCATAAGTTTTAAGGCCAAGTCAAGAAAATTCATCATTTCAAAAGAACACAATACATCAGTATGTTCAATAATAGCCTGGCGAGGCTTTTGCAGGGTTACAGTAAACCAAATAAACTAACAGTTAAAAAATGTTTGTTTTTTTGAAATGGTGTTGATATTAAAGATAGAAAATGTAATAATCCATTTCTTAGAAGTTTGATTCATTGTCCTGCAATTTTTAGAAACAAGTCCTTTTGGAATAACCAATTTGAAAATATCAATTGGAATTTGATCTGGACTTATAACAATAAATATTGTGTCACTAATAAAGTCAGTGAAATCTACTTTAAAATTATACATAAAACAGTAACACTTTACAATAAGGTTCATTAGTTAATGCATTTACTAACATGAACTAATCATAAACAACACTTGTACAGCATTTATTAATCATAGTTGAACATTTACTAATGCATTATTAACATCCAAGTCCATGCTTGTTAACATTAATTAATGCACCATGAGTTAACATGAACTAACAATGAACTACTGCATTTTCATTAACATGAACAAATACAATAGTAAATGTATTTTTCATTGTTTGTTAATGTTAGTAAATGCATTAATTAACATTAACTAATGAACCTTATTGTAAAGTGTGACCCATAAAACATATCCAACCAACCAGTTTGTCAAGAGGTATAAAGCTGATCTTTTTGAATCATGTGTTTCCTGCAGAATGGATGTTGAGACTGTTATGCATTTGTTTTTTGATTGTATGTATGTTAAATATTTCTGGTTTGATGGTGAATGTCTGTTTAATATACAGAGTGGTCATAGAATTAAGAAACGAGATGTTGTATTTTATGTAGATAAAATGATATAGATAAGAATCTTCTGTTTATGTTAAATCTGTTGATATTATTGGGCAACTTTCATATACACAAGTGTAAATGGTCAGAGAGGAAGCCTAACATCTTCCATTTCAAGGCTGATTTAAAAAACTATTTTGAGACTCTTAAAGGACTTTCAAGTCGTAAAGCGTCCAGAACTGTGAATATACTTAAAAATTCGTCTACTCTTTGGTGAATGTTATGTATACCCACTCTTATACACTATAAGATACACTATACTGTCTATACACTTTGTTACTTTGTTTACAGATGTTATGCTAAAATGTGTAAAATTGTAAGACTTGTTATGCAATTGACTGGAAAAGTTCAGCAAATACATGAAAAAAATCATTTAAAAAAGTATGTTCAATAAATGTAAATATATATAAAGCACACAATGAGCCCATTATTAAAATAAATAAATAAATAGATAAATCAATAGAGTACAGAAATAATTTTACAATAAGGTTCCATTATTTAAAGATGCCTCACGAACAAACAATTAAGTATATTTCAAGAGTTCACACTTAGCTGATGATTGACTATGAAGTGTGTTTGGCATGCTGTCCCAGGAGGGAGCCCGGAGCCCTGGGAGAACTTGTAAACTCCGCACAGAAATGTCAGTAAGGACTAGAACCAGTGACTTGCTGTGAGGTAACAGTAACCACTGGGTCACCGTGCCACCCATCTAGGAAAGGAGGAGTTGGGGTGGAGGGGGGGGATTCTTTAAAACGAAGATGGCTGTTATATGGAACTCAGGATATTTATAGTGGCTTAGGAATCATCTGATTGGTGAATCATAAATTGTGTAATGTGGGACCAGCCACAAGCAATCATAAGCAGATGGTCCTTTCGAAATTAGTTTGTAAATAAACTTCACTTATTGCAATATTTATTCATCCCTGTTACCATTAGTTAATGAAAATCCAGTGATTCCTGTTACAATGCATTTACAAATTGTTTCAAACACAAATGTGGATTTTAATAATGCATTAGCTTATGATCAAATCATATTAACTATGATTTATGGATGCTGTACAAGTATGTTCATTCAAGTTAGTAAATAGTCATTCAGTCATTTAGTACCCTATTTATCAGACATCGTCACAGTGGAATGAACTGTGATATGTTTTATGCAGCGGATGCCTTTCTAGCCACAACCTAGTACTGGGAAACACCCATTCCCCCATGTAACTGATCAAAATTAGACAAAAGAATAACTAAAAGATGAACAAACATCTGTCCATGAGCTAAAAACAACAAAAAAGTTACTTTTATATAGTGACAGAATATTACATTGTTTCACACTTTTGTTATATTTCTTAAAGGGGACCTGTTATGCCTCTACTTAAGTAAAGTAAGTTTCTGGTAAGTGTGTATGTGATGTTTCAGCACAAAACACCACAGGAATAATGTTTTTAAAACTCTTTGAACCTGCCCCTTTTAAGGCCCGATCCCAATTCTATTTTTGAACCCCTACCCCTTCCCCTTGGCCCTTAAAACCGAGGGTGAATGGAAAGCGCATCAAAATTTACCCCTAAGAATAGGGACAGCACTGCAGCACCTGTACCTATATTATAACTACACAGTGCATTTACACAGTGGCCATAATCATCTATGTATACACACCAAAAACAACATTAACATTATAGCAGACACTGTAAAAAGGCTATTTCCAGCCACTAGACTGCTCAGACAGGGTATTTGAGTGTCGTCAAGTGTCAGAATGTTGTGGGTCTGCTATACAGGAGTTACTATTATGGATTATAGATAGCTAAATTTATCGTTTTTTTATTTTAGCGTTTTTTTTTTTTTTTTTTTAAAGCATGACGGTAAAACATGTTCACAATTATGAATATATTAAAACATGTGCTTGTTTGTTGTAAAAATTCATAACAATGACAAAAAACTAATTTGTGGATCTCCTTCTGGGTGTAGCTATCCTGCTGTTGTGGCTGGTCGATTCTGGGAAATTTTAAGGGGTAGAATTGGGATTGGGCCCAAGCTTTGATTCAAATTGTGCCATTTTGGTGACTGTTGCTTATGATACAAATGAGAAGAGGGCGGAGCTACAAATACCTATTCGTCAGCATGCCTTTGGACTGTGGACGAAACCGAAGCACCCGGAGGAAACCCACGCGAATGCAGGGAGAACATGCAAACTCCACACAGAAACGCCAACTGACCCAGCCGAGGCTCGAACCTCTTGACCTTCTTGCTGTGAGGGAACAGCACCTACTGCGCCACTGCGTCACCCCTCAACTTGTGCATAATAATATTATTAAAAAGTAAATGTGTAACTCACAATCTGGATCTAAAATAATAAAATAAAATAAATGTTCATTATGTTACATGAGCACATTTATTCTATTGTGACCCCATAAAACTATAATCACATTACATTTGCTACACCAAACGAAATGTACCAGAGAACTACATGAGTATCTACATTTTGCACAGAACAGAGCAACTGCTACCTGAATTTCACATACATGACTATAACAGGTCTCTCTGAATACCTCTCATCAGTCCCTAAATTCAACACCTAATTGAACCGGTTCAAAGCAGCATGTGTGCATCAGGAAGTTCCCATGCAATCCTGCATATGGCAGCATTTAAAGGCTTCTTTTCCAGGGAAACTTTAACTTAATTTGCTCCGGCAGTGTACATTGTGCAGCATCTGCTATAGGCTATAGTGAGAAAAAAAGAGACTGGGGATGGGTGGGTCTCTTTCCACTGCATTTAAAGGGGAAAAAAGCCAGCATCTTAGAAACTTTAAAACATAATGTAAATTTAAAATATTGTTATATAATACTGAAATTATAATAACAACAACAACAACAACAACAACAATAATGATAATAATAATAAAAATAATAATAATAAAAAAAAATAATAATAATAATAATAATACTGAAAACATTTTTTTTTATTTGGACACTGAAACAAAGCAACTCAAAATGGACAGAACATAAATGTAAAAATCTCAAAATTTTCAAAACATTACTTTAAAAGTAATGCTGGGCTTAAACCCAGAAAAATGTAAGTATTCACATGAGTAGATCATATTCAAAGTCAATTGACTAGCAAAAATACAGGCAAGTTTCCATCATGCGGCATGAGGTGCAAAACATCCATCTATAATCCAGAATCCAATTTAAACCAATTATCAAATTCTCTGACTTATTCCTGACTTTCAGTGATTAAAAAGCTGAATTTTCATGACCTATAATGAATGTAACAACAGGCCAATGTTGTGGTTCGCATAATATTAAAACGGTATGAGTCACTATATACCCGACAAACACAGAAACTTCCCTCAGGCAATATATGAACACTTTACTACAGTAATTGTGAAAAAAACATCAGTACTTTGTATATACACGTATTTATGTAACAACATACTTTACATGCCAGTTTGCACATAACAGCTCATATAACACTGTATATAGTAATATACCTGTCTCTATATTACACTTGTCAATTTGTATAATTGCATTCAATACTTTCTTCTATTTTAAAAATATATTTATTAT